CTGACCGGAGGCCGTATTTCTACACCAACATGAATGGATATAATAGCTCGTTACTACAGCGAATTATGGTCGCCAGGTTGAGCATGTCCAATTTGCTGGCGTTCAAATTTAAGAAGGGCGAGAGGGTGGCTGCAGGATTCCAGCTTCTGGAGACGCAGATGAACCGATGTTTTGTCGTTTTTGAATGGATGACGATCGCTGACGATCGTCCAGTGCTGTCGATTATCATCATCGCCGTAGCCCGCCACCAGCGCACCAGCCCCGAGAAGATCTTCACGGTTGTGTTGAGCTACAACGAGTTCAAAGATAACATGCTACTGTAGCGCTTTGACCCGGACGCCCCCGCCAAACTGAGGAAACGACTGCCCCGTCTCAAAACCAACCGACAGAAAATGTTGGACGAGATAAGAAAATAGGCCGATCAGCTGGCCGAAAAAAGTATGGAGGACACAAAACATATGATGGAGTTGCAGGAGAAGGTATCACAGTTGAAGAGGGATAAAATTACTCAGTTTACCAAGGAACCCTTGCATAATGTGCAGGAGAGCAAGAATCACCGGCCGGATATCCCCGCGGCCGAGCTGGACGAAACAGTACCAAACTCCAGTTTCGACCCCAAAACAGACGATTGCCCGTTCTTGGACAACAGGACCCCAACAACAAAGTCCAAGGAAATTACCGAGTTACAACCTTTTATCCCACCGATTCCGCCTAAAACCGGTAGTGAGTTTCAAAGCACTGGCGAAAAGTGTTCCGACTTTCAGTTATCTGTCGGCAACCCCGTCTCGAAGTTAACGTTGCCGCAGAGAGGGTCAGCACCAGATCAAACGTTTGCTACGTGCTACTGTCTCTACGGATTTCCTTTTGTTAACCAGATTCTTGGTAGCAACTATGTCGAGAACTCTGTATTGCCGGTTAATAAGGACGGGTTAAGACAGAATAATGAGACAAGTGGTAAGATGCCAATTAGCAACCCGAAAAGGGGCTCAGCATCGCCATATCATCAAGCCAAGAGGGTAAAACCGATTAATCTGTTCGACTGTACATGATATTGTACAGGGCTGTAGAGACCACGCGGAGTGGGCCAAGAAGCACAGGGTACTGTTGTCGTTGTCGACGCCGAGAGTCAGCCCGCACGCCTCTAGATCGACTCGGGCGTCGTCGTGTCTACCGCTCCCGAGGGCTGTGCGAAGGGACATAAGGGATGGGTAGATATATAAAAATATTAGATATCTAGGGAGCGATGACCAAGGACTCTGTCGTGCTGGAATTAACTGGCTATACCGACGGGTGCCTTGTACTGGCGGGACGGTAGCGCTTGGGGGCTACATATGTATGTATCACTGCTAGGTAACGGCTCCACGGCCATCTTAATGGCTTCAGTCCGTTGTGGTATATTTTTAATTTTTCTTTAGAGGGTCTCGTGAGTCTCATGACGTCTAAGAGTCTGAGTCTAAGACTAAGGTCTACGCGGTAACCTGAAACCGGTTTCCGTTGAAACTTTTGTAAATCGAATAAAGATATGTTTACGTTCAACTTTTATTCCATATGCGGTCCTTTGTATTCTGACATGTGTACCTTGCGGGTCTAAATATTTAAGTGTGTACGGCTTTCGCAATTCGAACGAGTCCTAAAAATAAACTTAGGTAGGCTCTTCTGATCACTTTGTAACCGTTAAAACATTTTGAATTTGAATAAATATGCGTTTACGTTCAATTTCTGTGCCATGGCAAATCTGTGACGAAACGTTTGCTCTGGAATTTACGTACTCCATTATGCTTTCTGTGTAACCAAATTTTTTTTTTTTGAGTACATACAATACATACTCTTGTTATATTTAATGAGGCGATGTATGACATTAGTCAATATTCACTACTGAAAAAATGAAGTGAAAAGTTGTAAACAACAATATCAGTTTGTGTCACCGACACGAAGACTTCACGTTTCTCATATATTCATGTATGTTTATATATATATATATATATATATATATATATATATATATATATATACAAGTATATATCAACGCATATTGATTACACAGACAGCACTGTAACAGGCGCGATGTATTACTCTGCCAAGGCCAGCAGTAACACTGGGTTGGTACGGGAGTTAAAACGATTGGCGATCATTCAATCTAAACGGGTGGAAGAGGCCATGCTGCTAGTGGATAGGTAGGCAATACCCCAGGGATTCTTGAATGTTATAATGAGGTCAACGTACAATAGCATTGGTTCTCTCTGTAAGTATGGTGCAATGGATTAATTTGAAAAGAAATGATCTATCCTGATAGTGACTCTGACAAAGCGAATGGCATGTATGTTCGTTAAGCGATCTGCGCACGTTATCTGTAGGTTAAATATTTGACATTGCATGGAAAGAAAGACTGATGTATAAATATAGGTGCAATCAAGAAATATTCACAGCCTTGAATATGTTGATTAATGTATGTATATGATAATAGGTACTTTCACATACACAAACACACACACACACACACACACACACACACACACACACACACACACACACATATATATATATATATATATGTGTGTGTGTGTNTGTGTGTAGTGTGT